AATGTAAAAGCTTTCAGCACACTTCTAGTTTCATGTAATCTGAATTCTTTCTGCTTGTCAACAGATGTCTACATTGACACATTAAGGTGCAAACTGAGGTGCGAAGAAAACCTGACACCGAATATTGGGGGTTATTTTGTAGTGAGATTTGTGCCCACTGTTTACCACTACCTCCAGTATGCCTATTATAAGTGTAAGTTCAGCATAATCACAGATTCTGAATATTCTTTGTCAACACTTTCTGCTGTTGAATTTCTGAGTGTTTGTGGTCTGTGTATTCTCTGCACAGTGAACGATGGACGCAGTGCAGTGCCCTGTGCGCACAGCTACTTCCTGTTTGAGCCTGAGGACCCAGTCATGAAGCAGAACCTGCTATATTATAAAGCCTACAGTCAACAGTGGGGGCTTCAGTCCAACCACTTTACCCCCAGGATGGTAAGATGAAAATTGGAAGTTTGTTGCAGAATAAAGTTGAATATCGCTCTATAATAATCATGCCACCAATCTTTGTCTTAACAGGAAGCTTTCAAACACTACAACCAGACAATAATGCAAAAAAAGATGTTGGCATTTGCAGAAACATACTTAGGTCTGTCTGATGAGGTGAGCTTTATACAAAAACAGCTCATTCTTTGGCCACATAAGAGCTTAGATTGCCTGAAATGCTGAATGAAATCCCCTTAAAAACATTGATTATCCAAAATAATCCAGTATAATCAAATTTCAAATGTTTATTGAACATTCAGGGAGAAGTTTTGTGGCTGCATGTTTTAGCACTTTGTAATGTAATTGCAATCTGGATCGTTCTTCCAGGACTTTCTAGGACCAGAGGAGGTTGCACGGTCGGCCCCAGACTCTCCTGATGCTGAGTTTGAAGGTATTGGAGATTATGAGGAGTCAATTTACGCAAACTGGAAGCAACTGAAGGGCAAAGGGGATGCTGGCGAGTCAGACATCTGAAGATTTTCTGGAGTTTACAGAGAATAGTCTGACTATAAGACTATAAATAACCACTTGTTACAACCAAGGTATGCAGAAGAGCATCTCTGAATGTGCAACATAGTGCCACTCCTATCATTAAGAACAAGAAACTGAGGCTACAATTCACACAGGACCACCAGAACTGGACAACAGAAGCTAGACTGGAAAACTATTGTAGTCTGATGATTCCCACAATCCGGGTTTCTGCTGTGACATTCAGACAGTGGGGTCAAAAATTTGGCATTAACAACATAAAAGCGTGGATCCATCCTCCCTTGTAGCTACGGATCTGGGTTAGGATTATGGTTAACACATCATGTCACAAAGCTCAAATCATCTCAAACGTTTCTTGAACAAGACGAGGAGTTCACTGTACTCAAATGGCCTTCACAGTCACCAGATCTCAGTCAAACAGAGCACGTTTGGGATGTGGTGGAATGGGAGATTCCCATCATAGATGTGCAGCAACTGTGTGACAATGTGTTGATAAACCAAAATCTGTGATAAATGTTCCCAGCACCTTGATGAATCTATGCCACAAAGAATTAAGCATAAGCAGTCCTGAAGGTAAAAAGAGACCCAACCCTGTGCTAGCAGTACCTAATAAAGTGGCTGATCAGTGTAATTAGACTTTTAAACTAGTAATATTGTAGCTGTCACAACAAGTCATGTCATTATGAATTATGAACATGAAACTGAAGTAGCAAGTTAGTCAGCGTTGCACAGATGGTCAACCAAATATTTACAAATTATCAAATACTTTCAAGCCAGATTCAGTACAATATAATACAGTATATATTAAGCAAGTCAGTAACATTGTATTAAAATTGTTTAGCTGTAAACTTAATCTAATGTAACACAAACAATCAGCAACAAAAAAAGTTTAATTATATCTGGATTCATAGCAGCAGACACTCATGCAGTGGATCACAGAGTCACTCGAGTTCAGGTAGGTTTTATTATGGATTTTAATATACAGTAATACGAGTATTTACACTGAGAGCCAGGTTACCTAAAACTAGACAATGTTGGCTTTTAATAGTGAGCAGTGCCAAAGTCCTTTTAATAAGTCAAACTACAGCGTGCGATCACAGCTACAGTAAACATGGTGTGACCTGAGCTTCCAGCACACTCAAGGACAGACATGTCCTAAAGATTTTTTCATGTTTCTACAGCGTTTATGGGTGAAAGAGTCCAACTGTAACTAAACAGATATGTTAACCCTTTAAATGAAGCCTGTGGTGACAAATATTGAGCACATGTGACGTTATATACTGTTAAAAGTCTTTTTCTTGTCTACAAAAACAATTTATTAAAGTTATTTTCAGGAGGCAGGAACCTTTACTAGAGATCCTCGTGTGATGGACTTCAACTCAACGTATCAACACTCCTTTAACGCTCCTGTAGGTTGGCTGGCAGTGTAACTCGGATAATTTCTTCTGGCACCTGTGCCAACGACTCTTAATGCCATTAATGATAAAATACAGCTTTGTGTGACAATCACAGGAGTATAAGCCTCTAAACCTGATCGACACGCTCTGATACTCAATTTTTTAATGCACTTATATACTGCTCATTATCTGGATCTGTTCAAGCAGAAGTATATAACCTGTAACCATTTAGAAACAAAGCATAATCAGCTAACCCTCAGAAGCCAAATTAATAATTCATGTACATTTCTGGACTTGAGGGAGATCCTGCGAGACATCTGTGTTGTCTCGTTACCATTTTTCAGTGTGAAAATCTAATACTGGCATATATAAAACACACGGCCGTAGCCTGAGTGAGAGCCAGTGACATTTCTGAGCATTCAGAGAAGCTTTCTCCTAGATTTCCCCTAAGATGCAAAGATTTGCATCTCTTCTCGCTGATTAAATCATCCAAAACAAGCAGTTTCAGGAGGGAAGAGTCTTCTCTCTTCAGGCTTGTGCTTCCAGTCAGAGCGGCAGTGAGTCACAGCTGTCTAAAGGGGTCAGTACATTATATACAAACAGCACCCATGTTCAGCATACATGTATGCATACAGTATAGTGTGTATGCGGATTACAGGATCATACAGCGGGATGAAACATTGGGTGCATACATGTGCAGCTGGCCATCCAACACCATCCCTCGCAGGTTGGAACTACACGTTCATACATTAGCAATTATCATGTAGAAGCATTGATTTAGGATTAGGAAAGGAAGCATAAGGGGAGAAATTATGGCTATTACTCTGGAATGTAAAGGTCTACAAAACAAAACCCTCATCTGGACAGACAAGATGTCAGCAGCCTGATATTATTACACTTCTATTACAGCTAAAGTCACACTTCTGAGAGGAGGTGGTTGTGCTCTCCACGAGGTTAAATATGTAACTGTTCTCTAATACAAGGCTTCATTAAACAAGTCAAGACTGAGCGAAGTTCATGGCCTATTTTCTGTGAAATCATTTAAAGGGGTGAAGCTCTTTAACAGTCAGTACAGCAGAAGACCTGCTGTGACCTGTCGAAGCGAGAGAAAAAAAAAAAAAGCTGTGTGTGTCCCAGACAAAAAGAAACAAAGATGTGGCAAAATGAAACAGGAGGAGGTGACGGCAGCAAAAGTGACTCAGACAGCTACAGCCAGACTTTATGGTCTGTAGGAGTACCCTCAGAGCTTCCATACTCCTGATTTATTTTTCCAGGTGGCTTGAGTACCAACATAAGAAACAGGAAAAATCTGAGGGCCAGTAATGGAAGACATCTTTGTTTTGTCTCCTCAGAATGGACTGCACACAGTGTAAGGAAGATAGGACAGCAGAGAGATATGACTCAAACTCCCTTAGATCTGGAAAGAGAAGAGGAATGGGGTGGAGAAAAAAAAAAACAAGAGGAGAGGATAAGGAAGATAAAGAGGTGGGAGAAGAAGATAAAGATTGAGTCCCAAACTGAAAAGCCAAAGACGAGCCTTTCAGTTTTCTACAATGTAAATGACAGAGGCAAAAACTGAGGAGAAGCAATCAGCAAATGTTTATCTTTGCTCGAAAAACTGCTTTAATGACTAATTTAAAAACAGCTGCCAATTAATTTTCTGTTTAATTTTTTTTAAAAAACTTCATTAATAAAAAGTGAAGCTTTTATTAATGAAATGATACAAATCAACACAGAAGCTATATGCTAGGAATGGCAACCAACTCTGAAGCGGCACGCAGCACAAATAAAAATGAAGCAAACTAGATAACACAGTGAATAGGAGTTTGTATATTTTATGAATGGGTACTGCAATATGCACAAGCTATATAAAGACTGTAGTATGTGGCATTGCTTTATGCCATTGTCTCTATACAAATACACATTAATAATAATTTAAAAAAGGATCATAAATGAGGAAAAATAAGAATAAAGAAGCAGGTAACAGATACAAGTGAGAGTCCTTAGAAAAAGGTCAGATGATTCTTACAAAACAGATGGCAATACAGTGATATAATCATCAGTGATTTAATGATGTCCCAGCTTTGGGATCAGCTCTGAAAGGTGGGATCGTACCTTCCTTTCCGGATATTTCTGGACCGGAAGTGATGCAGGAAAAAGATAAACAGGGACAGCAATATTATCAACTTTGGTGTTCAAGGA